TATGGTATTAGAGGGATTAAATGCGGCCTGGTACAGAGCAGATTCTCCGATAAGACGTTGAGTATCGGTAAAGGCAACCCAAGAAGGTGTCGTATGGTTGCCTAAATCGTTGGTAATGATCTCGACACGGTTGTGTTGTTGCTGCCAAAAACCTACACAAGAGTAAGTCGTTCCAAGATGGCCTCATCTTCTTCAGTTCCTCGTTTTCTTTTCTCGACCATCTTCTTCAATTGTTCTTCTTCCTCCCTGTTTGACTAGAAAGTGGAAAGTTTCTCCTTTTTGTTGTTTCGCTTGCCTTCCAGTGTCGAAATGTTTAACAAGCCATGGAGTCGTGCTTTAACAAGGAGTATTGCATTGGTACTAGCCACTACTAGGAGTGGGCACTCCGGTCCAATATTTGATGGATTCCATATACGTAATTACTATTGAAATGATTCGGTTCGATTCGGTCTTAGACCTAAATTCGTTTACTACGGTCCATTTTCAAACGGGATGGTACAATGTCATACACATGTCAAATAATGTCACTTTTTCCAAGTGTTTAAGGATAAATTAAAGTTTAGGTATCCTCCAAAAATCCACAGAATTTAACAATTCCTGTTGGTCCCAGTTTATGCAGACTAACGATCAGCTAGATGGATATCATCGATAAACAGAAAAATAGAAGATCTGATAATGATAAAGAAATATCGAGAACAGAGAAATTCTTCTTCTATTATATCGAGAACTATTTTGACAGAGTAAGGCTAAGAGTTGTATTGATCGATATCGGTACCTGTACACAAGGCGCATATTTATAGGCGCTGTACAGGTTACCGATTTAGGTAAACCTTGAGGTTTGGGCCAATGCCTTTTTGGGCCTTATTCCCTTTAACCCATTTATTACAAAATGATTACTATACTAATACCATAAGTCGTATAACTAGTCTACCTTATTAAACAAGACATTACAGACAAACTTGACTCACAATTAAAGTTCTAACAATCTCCCCCTTTGTGGTCAAGTGCCGTCTTGCTGAATATTTTCACTGCTGAGCTTTGAAATAATTCTTCCTGAGATTAAGCGCATGCTCATAGTTCCTGAGTGAATTTCTTCTATCAAGTTGTTTCTGGATAGCCTGCAGAATGTTTTCAATTCTGTGTGCCTTTTTCAATTCAGCATCTGTGGCATCTGCATACTTCTGCTGTCTTTCTTTAAACGCTTCTCTGATAGGTTGTAGCTTCTCTTTCACAATCTTCAGAGTTCCGTCACAGTACTTGTTAATTTCATCAATGAATAGCATACGTTTCTCGCCATTGTGATTCAGATAGATAAGCGTGACTGGACTATCAAAGATATAATACTCAGGAAAGTCCTCAAGTTCTTGTCCATATAGCTTCGGTCTTGTGAGATTTGTCTTTGGCATATTTGTTTCAAGAGTCATCTGAAGATCATGAGAGGCAAAGAATTTGATTTGTCTGATCATAAAGCGTTTGAGTGCATCAAACCCATTTTGCGTAATCTTGTCTCGAGTCCCGGGAATTTCTTGGAATGCAAGATACATCTGATAGATGTCATCCATCTTTAGCATGTAGAGATCATTTTCTTTGCATGTGAATTCAGTTCCATCGGAGCGTTGTAGATGATAGACAGAGAGTTTGATATCTTGAATATTCGTCTCAGCTACATTGAGGATGGCCCAAACTGGATCCTTTGCACTTTGAAGTTCATGTTGCCACACCTCTCTCTGTTTCCCCATGTAATTATGGCTTAGCAGGAATAATTGTCCGCCCTTGTTGTTCCCTTGTAAATGATTAAGGCCGCGAATTTTCAACTCATCCAGATCTTTGACTTTGTCTTCTCTTCGCCAGATATTCTTTCTGATTTCCTCTTGAAAGGGAGCATTGACATTCACGTTCTCCCAGGGCTTTTCACTTCTGGGCATCTGAGCCGCTGTCTGTCTGATGATAGATTCAAGCTCCTTGGGAGTTTTTTCATAGTCTTCTCCTTCCTTGAATTCATCTCTTCCAAGTAGAATTACGTCAGCAGCACAGTTAGCTAGGAGTTCTCAAAGGTATGCTCTTCGCTGTATTTCATCTATATCTGCCCATAGCTCAGACCATTTGTTGTGCACCAGCATTTCTTCAAGTTCATCGTGCATTTGGTCATTGTAGAAGCTAGAGGGAGCCTGCTGCTGCTGTGGCGATAATCTGTCAACAGAAACCCCGGGGTCGCAAGGATTGCCCGTTGGCATCAGTTTCGAACTAGGTTCTAGCTGATGGCCTGAGTAGGAAGATGTACTCGTGGTAGCATCATCAGGACTTCCATTCCGTCCTTGGTCAACATCTATAGGAGATGCGCCACAGGATGTTTTATCTAGCTCGACCATGCTAGAGAGAGAGACTAGGGATTTGTTTTGGCTGGCTGAAGTAGTGGGTTGTTCATTGGTAGAGGTAGAGGGTTGGCTTGGTTTTGAGGGTTGGCTGGTAGAAGCAACATGCTCGAGTATCCACTGGCGCTTGTTCTCCCCCTCATGACAATCCGAATCATTAGGATCCTCATGTGAACGTTTTGCGCCACGGAGACTGTCACGACATGTGTTCTGTGTATCTAGAGCATGGAGAAGGGCTTTTTGGAGAGGGGTAAGGTTGCCTTCATCCAAGTCTAGGATACGGTCGTAGATCTAAGCTACAAGATCCTCGAAGAGTACAGTTTTTAGGTCGGGTTTGGTCGTTGTAGGGGAGAATACTAGTTCTATATCCTGGGTTCCTCTTGATGTGGATGATTGTTGGTTTTCTATGGCTAAGGGTTTGGAAATAGGAATGGAAATGGTTGGGGGCTGTGTTGTTTGGGGTGTAGTGGGTACATCTTGAGTAGCTAGTTTTATAGAATGAATTAAGTAGTAAAAAGGAAAGAGAAGAAGGTGTAGAACTCTGATCCCCCCAGTATAACATGTATTAGGTATGGTTGGTTCACTACACTCGAGCAATAGGTCTCATCCGATTCAGTTCTTACTCAAAATTATTATAAATAATAATAATATTAATATTATTAACATTATTATTATATTATTATTATTATATTATTAATATTATTATATTAATATATTAATATTATTAACAATAACTATAATATAATAATTATAATTAATATAATAATAAAAGTGGTAAATCATGTTTGAATTTTTTGATCTGATCTGAATGTTTCTGATCTGATCTGGTCTGATCTGATCTGAATGTTTCTGATCTGATCTGATCTGATTTTTTTTGATCTGATTTGATCTGATCTGATCTGATCTGAATAAAATAAGATTAAGGAATAAGTAATAAGATTAAGACGAACAACTTCTAAAAGTTAATGAGTTGAATTTTTAGATTTTTTTTTGCAAAGTTAAAATAATTTTTGTTAACTTTATTATAAAAGAATATGATCTCCGTTATATAAGTAGACTTTTGAAATATCTTCAAAAAAGAAAGACTTTTAATATGGAATATAGATCCAGATCTCTCTGGAATTATGGACGAGTACGAATCTTAAATTAGAGCATCTCCAATGTTACAATATGCACGGTGCACATGTGACATGAGAGATAACCACACAACTATTAACAAATAAATTATCTCTCTCCTTATTTGAATGATTTTATACAATTCTAGAATGTTTTTCCCTGCAATGTCAACTGCAATGTCAATATCTAAACGGTCTCCTTGACATTGTGGAGAAAAACTTACCAAAAGTGCATAAAATCATTAAAATAAGGAAAGAAAGAATGTATTTACTAATATTTATGTGGCTATCTCTCATGCCACATGTGCACCCAGGGGCGGAGCCAAGGCACTAGGCCGCACTGGGCCGGTACAAAGAATATTTTTGAATTTTTTTTTACACATAATTTTTTACACTAAAAATACAAGCATTTTTAAAATTTGGGCTGGGCCAAGGCCAGGGATGGCCCTCCCCTAGCTCCGCCCATGTGTGCACCGTGCACATTGTAGCATTGGAGATAGTAAATACATAGTGTTTTTATTCTATGTTTTTAATAATTCAATTAAAAAACAATCACTCATGTTTTTTTAGTGTCTTCTAAAAGCCATAATAATTTGTCTCTAATAAATAGCTAGTACAAGAGGAAAAATTTTGCAAAAAAATAGCTTAGTCCATAGGGAGCATTAATTTGTTTTGGGTAAAATGACAAATTCAGTTCTGCACACATAATTAAGCAAATGCTACGAATTTAGAACCAAGTGAATGACCTTTAGTTCTTTACGTAGTTACATTAATCTTATATTTTAGTCAGTTAAATAAGTTTATTTTATAAATAATGTGATTTATTGTTTAATCATGTGTTATTCTGGCATGTAACGTCGACCATTAAGCTCGAATAATTTTAAGTGAAGAAATAAGTAATGTTTTAAAGCTTAATCAGTCTATTTTGAAATAGAAAATATTCTTTATGTGTTAGAAACATTTTTTTTTAGAGAAGATTAGAAGCCCAACTCAGTTAACTAAGCCCAGGTTCTATTTTTCCCCATAAATCCTGAGGATCGGCTCTCTCCCCTACCAGCAGCCACTATTCTATTTTTTTGTGTTGTTCTTCCTTTGTCTGGTGCTGAAGCTTAGCGTTCTGATCTGATTTTTATCGAGCTACTTCAGGTAACAACCAATGAATCATGTTTTACATTTCATTTCCAGGTCTTATAATATTGACAAAGTTTATAATGGGTCAGGGTCTACCCGACCCGGTTCCGAGACCAGTTGGTATGAGTCCGGGTCCAAATTTTCATACCCACCGGGTAAAGAGGTCAGGTCCGAATCTATTTTTTACTTAGCGGGTCTGGGTCTGGAACACTACGTTCTGGCCCGGACTGGACCCGACCCATTGACAGACCTAACAATTTGAGAGTTGTGAATATGTAGAAAATTCAATTATTTCAATGCTAGATGGGCCTAAAGGACCTAAAATAAAAACGGGTCCAAATTTAGTTTATTTATCCGTCACTCTCAAAGAAGTCTTGAGCAGAAAGGCAGTGCCGGTAATCCTTCATCGCTCGCATCAGTGGGCATCACATATTTGAGCTTCCCCGACAGGAGTACGAGTACACATCGAGCTATCCCGTAAAGCAGAGAAGAGTAACCTCATCCCCTTCCTTCTTCATCTCGGTAATTCCTCTGAATTTATATCTGCTATATATTTATTGTTCCTTTTTAAACTGCAGCGCTTCTCCTTATTCTCGATCTGATTGTTCTATTCCTAAACAATCTACTTTCGATAATCTGGTAAAAGCGCTATATATTGTTGGTATCTCACTTTTCTTGTGTGAGCTTAAAATCGATTTCTTAGCTATGCAGGTGAAGACCACGATGCAATTAAAGCATACCTTACATTTTAATTTCGAAATTAAAATCGGGTGGCTTAAGATTTTCTCAAAAAAAATATGTTTACTTGCTTAAGGATTAGATTTAGAAACAGAGAGTAATTATAGATGGAGAGCAACTACGAATTACAAACAGTGAACTCAAAGATTGTAATTTGTGTCTGGGAATTGCAAACAGGCTTTAATAAAATTCATACTTTGTTAGTTCACAGATTGTTGGTTCGTATACGGTCTATATTCTTTAAGTGGGTAGCTATCATACACCATTGACAATTTCAGTGGGTAAAATTCATACTTTTTTAGGTCATGGTTGCACCTTGTTTTTTTAATCATCCAAAAATAGCTGTGAAGCTTATTTGTTATTCTAGAGCATTTTTTTCTGCATTTCAGTTGGTTGCTTCTTCTCTTTTTTATATAGCAAATTACTATGAAAATAGAAAATCTTTTTTTTTTTTTATTAAATTGAAAGCATCAGCCTTTTTAGCATGTTTTTTTGAGTTATTGTGACATACATATCTCATTCTTTATGTATGGAGTATGGTGGCGAATCAGAAAAACAAAAAAGATGTAGGATAAGTTGGGAAAACATGAACATGATCAAAACTTTTATTGAGACTTGTATTAATGAAATTTCTGTAAATTTGTGAAGCAGTAGTCTCAAAACTTTCATGGAAGAAAGTGTTGAGGTTTTGAAAAGTTTTCATAACTTTTGTGTTGGTATGAAGCCAATGAAAAATCATTAGGATTATCTCATGGGAAACTGGGAAAGTATAGAGCCTGGTTACTGCTTAAAAGTAAAACAGGCAATGTGTGCAATCCATCTACTAACACATTTAATCTTACATCCCAGGAATGGGAGATTGAAATGCAGACAGTTTTTGTACAATAGATTGACTAGTATTTATACTTAAAAGATGCAAGTGCAATTTGATTAATAATCTAATGGGGACAATAAGTAGTTGAGTTTCTATGTTGGCATTAAAACTCAAAAGCTCGTATTTTGTTATACAGATTGTGGTCTACTCCTATTCAGGCGCATGGATTTTGACTGAAATAGTGCAATTAGTCTGGCCTGTTTCAGTTGGGTCTGATTTGGGATGTTTTCTTTTGGACTGAAATTTGTTGATCTGGTCTGGTCAGTTGGAGTTTGGTACGCCCTTAACTGGTCCGTTCCGGTTCGGTAAATGTCTGGTCTCTGTGTATTTTAGAACTATGGAAGTCTGATTTGATTTGGTCTGTATATGTCTGGTCAAGTCTGTTGAAGTCTGGACTGATGTGGTGTAGTATGAGACTGAAAACAGTCCAAAAGAAAACATCCTTGATAGTTTGTGTAATTTATTATTGTTTATTGGTGGTTTGGTCTGATCCGTTTAAGGCCAATTTGTTCTTCTTAAGTTAACACGTCCTTAGGCACTTGGGAATTTAATATTTTTAGCTATGAAATAATCCATAAAAACATGTGAGCCTAATATTTTAGCCTCTTGATTGAGCAGACACTATGTGCCAGACAATTAATACTGACATTTACACATTTAGTATTTTAATAGTCCACCAAACAAGAGTAAAACTTAGCTGAAATACCAAACTAAGAGTGTGTAGGATTTATTATGCTTAAAAGGTGTAAGCACAATTTGATAAATAATATAATGGGGACAATATGTCAGGGTGAGGGCAGGAGTGGGCTCCAGCCCAGCCCAATTTGTATATTTTAATTAGTGTAGGTATAGATTTTATTATCAGCCCATCCCAAAATTTATTCCCTGCCAAAATTTATTTCCAGTCCCAGCCCACAGCCCAAAGCCTGAATATTCAACTTACCTGCGCAGCACCGCTCCTAGCGAACGCAAAAGAAAGAAATTAGAACAAAGACGGAGGCACAAGCGAGCTCTGCTACGAAGCGCGAACACCAAGCCATCAGCCGCGCCGCGTTCCGCCGTCCACGCCGCGCTTCCAGCCATCCAGGGGACTGCGTCGTCGCCCACTCGGCCGTCCTTACTCTCTTATTTTGTGAGATTTTGTTAACTTGTACATTAGAGAATGGTTTGATTATTAATTGAAATTTTTACTCTCTGCCGTCCTTGGGTTAGATTGGTTTGATTATTAATTGAAATTTTCTATGCATAATAAAATATATCTAATCGGGCAAAAATTTATTATAAATTTATAGTGATTAAATATAAAATTAAATCTTCGAGAATGATTTATTGATAATACAATTGAAGATTAGAGAATGATTTGATTATTGTCTGGACACGTAAGAAAAAATTGAAGAATTCAATTGAATTTTGAAATTGGGAATACTTATTAATTTTATGTACAATGTTTTTTTCTTATTAGTTTTATAATTTTATATTTTTATAGAAGTATTTTGATTCATATCAACATCGAAAATGTTTTTTAGAATGGATAATGAACATATTAACATTAATAGGAAGAAGTTGATTTCGTCATTCTTTCCGAAGTGAATCGTCAAAGTGGTGAAGGGAGTTCTGAACCTATACTTACTATAGTGCAAGACTTGCTCAATGAGGTTCCCCATAAGCCCAAGTCCCTGAAATTCAAACTATTTCAAATTTGGAGTTGCCTTCATCTTTTTCCATTGAGAGAGATCCAGGAAAAGGAAAGCAAATTCATTGAAAGAGATTTTGTAGATTCAATTATTGATGAATTCTGTACTTTGAAGTCGCGTAGAGCACAACTTAAGTGATGTTTGGATGAATATTTAAAATGCTGACGATTTGACGTATTATTATGCATGTATCTTTCATTTTTTCTCTCAGCCCTACCCATTGTAATTTTCTGGATCTGCCCCTGTAATATGTGGTTGAGTTCCTATGTTGGCATTCAAACGTAAAAGCTCTGATATTTTTGTACAGACTGGTCTACTCAGTGGGTTTTGACTGAAATATTGCAATTAGTCTGGCCTGTTTCAGTGGGATCTGATGCGATATTTTGTGTATTTTATTAGAAATAATTACATAAATATGATCAAAATAAAGATGATTTACAAGAGTATGACTAGTGACTAGAGTAGTAATGAAATCATAGTAATCCAGGTTCAAGTTTTAAGTATAAGTTACCCCAACACCACATTGTAGTAATGAATAGTCATATTAATGTAAATATGTTTTTTTAGTAATATTCTTGTAAAAACCCCATTTAATTATTATTTATTGTTGGTTTGGTCTGATATGTTTAGGTTTTTATGCTTGAAAGACGCAAGCACAATTCAATAGATAATCCAATGGGGACATTATGTAGTTGAGTTCCTGTGTTGGCATTAAAACTTAAAAGATCTTATTTTGTTATGCAGACTGTGGTCTACTCCTATTTACACATGCAGATTTTGACTGAAATAGTGCAATTAGTTTGGCCTGCTTCAGTTGGGTCTGATTTGATATTTTATGTATTTTATTGTAGTTTATTGTTGATTTGGTCTGATCTGTTTAAGGCTGTTTTGTTCTTTTTATGTCTTGTTTAATGTGGTCTGGGTTTCACTTGAAACAACTCCAAGTGAACAGGTCCTTATGCACATTTCTATTTTTGTTGTGAACTCAAAAAGTTCCTTTTCCTGCAGAACTCAAAATGTCGAGAAGATATGATAGCCGGACCACAATCTTCTCCCCAGAAGGCCGTCTATACCAGGTCGAATATGCAATGGAGGCAATTGGAAATGCTGGAAGTGCCATAGGCATACTGTCCAAAGACGGAGTTGTTTTGGTTGGCGAAAAAAAGGTCACTTCCAAGCTTCTCCAGACCTCGACTTCCACAGAGAAGATGTACAAGATTGACGACCACCTGGCCTGTGCCGTTGCTGGAATAATGTCTGATGCCAACATCCTCATCAACACAGCCAGGGTCCAGGCCCAGCGTTACACTTTTTCTTACCAAGAACCCATGCCTGTCGAACAGCTTGTCCAGTCGCTCTGCGATACCAAACAGGGTTACACCCAGTTTGGTGGTCTCCGTCCGTTTGGGGTTTCCTTCTTGTTTGCAGGCTGGGATAAGAACTACGGCTTCCAGTTGTATATGAGTGACCCGAGTGGGAACTATGGGGGCTGGAAGGCGGCTGCGATTGGGGCAAACAACCAGGCAGCGCAGTCGATGTTGAAGCAGGACTACAAGGATGAGATCACAAGGGAGGAGGCTGTTCAGCTTGCTCTTAAGGTGCTTAGCAAGACGATGGATAGCACTAGTCTTACCTCTGAGAAGCTTGAGCTGGCTGAGGTGTTCCTTTGTAAAGGTAAGGTTAAGTACCTCGTTCACTCACCCGAGTCGCTCGATAAGTTGCTGGTGAAGCTTGGATTGACCCAACCCACTCCGGAGACCTAATTAACACGCTTCTTGCTTGCTGCATAAGACTTCTTGAATCAGTCTGCTCTTTATTTTATTTCCAGACCAAACTTGTGTGTTTTTAGAAGTTACTTCATAACTTGTGTGAGATTTTTTTTTTATCGTCATGTGTGGGATTGTTGATTCAATCAGTATTGCTGCTTTATTTAATCGGACGGCTGCTCTGTAATATATGCCAGATCATGAAGTTCGATGATGTTTTAGAACATCACAGATAATTCTGCAGGTGCTGCTCAAACAGTCAAACTTATGGATAAATGAAAATAAATAATGATATGAGAATAACATAAATATTGCTTCACAAATGATACAATCCGTGAGATCCATCCATATGTTCTGTTCTTTACCTAAAGACCCAAAATCACGGATCAGGACCTCCTGGAAATAAAATTAGGAAAAATGGACATGAATAATGTATCAACATTGCTATTTGCTACAATGCTACCCCTCTTAAAAAAATTTCAAGATACACTCTTTGTGTAATTATACATGGCCTCGGTTCGGGCCGCCTGGCCCGGGACCGGCCCGACCCGCTACTGTGCAGGCCCGGCCCGGCCCGGTTTTCCGGGTCCGGGTCCGGTTCGGGCCGGAGGCCCGGGGGTGGGGCGGTTCCGGGCTTGGTTCATGGGTTTGACGACCCGGCCGGTTCGGGCCCGGGTCCGGGCCAAATCTATTTTTTTTTTTAATTTTTTTCATTTTTTTTGGGCTGTTGGGCTTGGGCTATCTGTTTAGGCCGGTTTGGGGGGGGGGGGGGGTTGGGGGGTGGGGGTGGGGGGGGGGAAGAAAGGAAAAACAAAATTAAACCGGGTGGCCCGAACCGGCCCGGCCCGGCCTGGAACCGGACCCGGGACCGCCCTACCCCGGTTCGGGCTTGGGCCTGCTATTACTGAACTGAGGTCCGAACCGGCCCGGTTCAGTCCACCACTGTGTGTAATACATTGTTGCAAAACTATAAAAACATGGATGATCTCATTATATCATATATCCATCAAAATTATTTGAATAATGTTATTTAATTATTGTCTAAATAATCTTTTTATTTTAATATGTGTACCTATAAGCGAGACGGATATAGAATAAATTTTTTTTTTCATGATCTTTCGTATGATACCAATATTGTATATGTAAAATTTAAAAAATCTCAGTAAAAATAATTTTTGATTTTTTTTCAAACTATTTTATATGCAATAGTGATATGATTGAAAGATGAAAATGTGTTTAGAATAAAATCATATTCAATGTTTTTTGACAGATACATTCAATTTTTAAAGCTAAATTATCATAACACTACATTGTAATAATTATTAGTTATATTTGTATAAATAAATATTATTGTAATACATAGTACGTAATATTTAAAAAAAAAACCATTTCAAAGAAAAATTAGAACAATTGATATTCCATTCCATTCTTAAATCCAACAAGTAGCAACTCGCAAGCTCGCATATAGCTACACTGGAATAGAGTATAGACGTCGGCAGCCCCGCACCGCCGGACGCTCGCATATAGACTGCGTTGCGCCTTCTCCCGTTCGCCAGTCTGCCCACGCCAAAAGCTAGTCCTGCAGTCCGCCGCCGCCGCTTGCTAGTCGGCCCACTGGCTCCATCCCTGGGTTAGTCTTTATTGTAATTGGCTAAACAAACAAGTATTATGGTGAGATATTGCGTATAAATAGACATTAAGTTGAATTAAGCAATTCTTTTTGGAAATGTGTAAGTAAATTCTGTTTCTGAGCAGAAAGATGGGGGCTTTCCTGGATATCTTCAAACGTTCCAGTTAAAAAGTCTGGAATGCGAGGCGGAAAATACGACCTTGAGCTCCATCTACCAGAGAAACTCTCCCCGAAAGCTCTCTTAAAACTTTTAAAATGCGAGAAGAACCCAAGCTCGGCACTCTCCCTGTTTGATATTGCGAGTCAGCATCCCGGGTATGCACATGATGAGGCTGTCTTTCAGTACATCCTCCGTCGCCTCTCCACCGACCGAAGATTTGCCCCACACCTTTCTCGGATCACTGAGATGATTCGGGCTCAGAAATGCCGGTGTTCAGAGGATTTAGCGCTTGCTGCTATCAAAGCATACTCCAAAAACTTCATGGTTGATAAAGCGATAGAGGTTTTTCAAAATATGAAGGAGCATTTCGGCTGTCTACCCGGAGTCAGGTCTTACAACAGTATGCTCAATGCATTCGTGCTTTCGAACCAATTGGATAAAGCAACACTGTTTTTCAAACACTTTGAGGCAATGCCCGTTTCTCCCAACACTGAAACTTACAATATCTTAATTACGATTGCGTGTAAAAGGCGGAAACTTCGCCAGGCAAAAGAGCTTCTGAATTTGATGTGGGATAGGAATTTGAACCCTGATGTGTACAGTTATGGAACATTGATCAATGGACTTGCCAAGAATGGCGATCTGAATGAGGCATCGGAAGTGTTTGATGAAATGTTTGACAGAGGAGTGATACCAGATGTGATGTGCTACAATATTTTAATGGATGGGCATTTTAAAAAGAGTGACTCCACAGCTGCTAAGCAGATATGGGACAGGTTAATACATAGTGAGTTAGCTTATCCAAATGCAGTTAGTTATAATGTGATGATCAGCGGCCTATCTAGATGTGGGAAATTCAGCGAGGCATTGGAAATATGGAACCGGATGAAGATAAATGAGGTAAAAATGGATGTCTATACATACAGCTCATTAATTCACGGGTTGTGTGAGTCAGGGGATATCAATGGCGCCGAGAGGCTCTATAAGGAGATGACTGAGAGTGGGGTATTACCAGATGTTGTCATTTATAATGCATTGCTTGATGGGTACTTCAAGTTTAAGAATATTCACTCTTGTTTTGATCTATGGGAGTTAATGGGGAATCAAGATTGTCGAAATGTTTGTAGTTTTAATATATTCATGAGAGGTTTGTTTGAGAAGGGAATGGTGGAAGAAGCCATTTCTGTTTTGGTCCTCTTACATGAGAATGGCTATGCTGCTGACCAAACGACATATGGGATTTTGGTTCACGGGGTTTGCAAAAATTTAAATGTAAGCATGGGTCTAAAGGTGCTAAAGAAAGCAGAGGAGGGTAAAGGAGAGCCAGATTCTTATATTTATTCTTCTATCATTAAAGGGTTGTGCAGTGAAGGAAGATCATGTGAAGCAGCTAACATAATTGATCAGATGGGAAAGAGTGGGCGGAAAGTAAACCCATCTATTTCAAATGCACTACTTAGTGGCTTTATCCAAGGTAATAAGATTGGTGACGCATTGAAGTTTTTTGATGAGCTAGGAAATGGTAAAAACTTCTTAATAAATGTAGTAACCTACAACATCCTTGTTGATGGTTTATGCAAAGCTGAAAGATTTGATGAGGCCTATGACACTGTCAAGGATATGCTTCACAAAGGGTGGAAGCCTGACGTCATCACATATAGCTTATTAATCAACGGTCTATGCAAATCTGGAAAGTTAGACACGGGGATGAACTTGTGGGGTCTTGTTCTGAAAACAGAGGGTATTAAGCCCGATACAACTATGGCTAATATTATGATTCACGGTCTTTGTTCTTGTGGAAAACTTGAACAAGCATTGCATATGTATCTGAAGATGCAACAGTGGGGTTGTGTACCTAATCTAGTCACACTCAACACTCTCATGGAGGGATTTTACAAAGTTAGGGACAGGCGAAATGCCATTGTGATTTGGGCCAGAATTTTCAGAGGCGGGTTTCTGCCCGATATTATTTCTTACAATATTGCTCTTAAAGGGATTTCTTTTTGCAATCGGATATCTGATGCCAGATTGTTCTTGAATGATGCTCTGAGTAGGAAGGTGTGCCCCACTGTGATTACATGGCACATACTTGTCAGAGCTGTCATTTATAATGGAATTCACTGTGATAATGTGGATTTGTCTTCCAGGCCAAAGTAAGTCATCTTCTAAACTTTCATATTTTCTCCTAGACTTCTCGGAAACTGTACCAGTACTTGGGAATTCACCATGAGTAACCATTTGTTTTCACAGTTCATTCTCGGTATGAACATATAGAGTATAGATCTTTGTGAGTTAGGATCTATATAAAGCATCAGTTGTATCAACAGGTTTGGTGGCGGTAATGATGTCACCAAATACGATTACTGATGCGAGAGAGATGTTACATGATGTATTAGCCTCATGTAATGAGTATCTTATTTGGGGTTATGAGTCATGCTATATACATATTTGACATGAAGATTAATCTTCACCCTTTCTCTTCTCTAGCTGTTTGACTTATATCTGATATCATTGTTTGGTATTAGTAGATGATTTGATGTGATAATGTTGATTTATCTACCATGCTCTAAACTTGTTTTCTCTTTTGAGATAAACTACTTGGCTGTTTTTGTAACTTTCATGGCATGTGGTAATTTGAGTTCGTTAGAATGTCACTGTGTAGTCATTCGATAATACAGGTTAAATGTGCATTCTAGTATGTTGTGATAATTGCTCTTTCCTACATGTCAAGTTACTTGTTATGCAAATGCTGCTCTACATGTATATGCTTTCCACCACAGGCTGTTTTTCTGTACATGCATTTTTTCAAAGTTTACCATTTTCAGTCCACTACTTTTGACATCAAATATCATAATCTTCATTGGGGACAAAGTTTACCATTTTAAACACATAACATGCACATCTGGATTCCCGCCATCAGATATTTACTTTCGTCCAGATTCTCGGCGCTGTTTTCTGCTTCAACGTGTAATATACATTTTCCTTGTACTAATCAACAGAAAGCATCAGTTGTATTAATGACTTTGATGGCAGCAGTTATGTCATCAAACACAATACCTGATGCCAGAGAGATGTGGCATGATTTATCAGCCTCAAGTAATGAGACACTCTACTTGGGGTTATTACTCATGCTATATTGATTTTTTTAAATCAAGATGGTGGGATTCAAGGACTGTTTTCCTTTCATGAAAGGGGGTAGATATGTGATCTTCACGAGAAGAGAAGTAATTCACAAATAATTGAAATATAGGTAACATGAAATAAATAATATTTTTGTCATCATCTATGCGAACTATGGAGTTTCCTGGGTGCCTGAGACTACCTGTACTCTCAGGCTTACATAACTATTTATCAAAAGAACAAAAGACAGATTATTCTGCTTTAGAACTGAAGGAGCCATATCCTTTAGCCTTGTGCAGTGGGTTAAGTTGGCTTTGCATTTTCTTGGCATAATACCGGTCCTTCTGACAGAGCAGATAATATGCTGCAATGCGCATGATCCATTTGTAATAAAAGGAGATACGGCGTGGTGTTCTCCCGCGTTTCTCAAACTAGAGCTGCACACCCCGTCCGTGTATCTGGACGGGGAATCTCCTTGCTACTTGTTCTTCACTAGGTCGAGGAGAAAATCTGTGAAGATGTGTTCATATTCTGGAATTTTCCCATTCCCTGGAAAATTATTGATATCTATGACATAATACCGGTCCTTCGTTCCATTTTCTCTAATCATATCCAGGTTGAAGAGCCGGAGGCCCAATCGTCTGCGTAGCTCCTTCGCAAGTCTCTCAAGCAATGGCCTTGGAGGAAGTTCAGCAACACGTGGGTCTAAATCTGCCTCCTCTGCAGAAGCAGCTGCACAAGAAACCCTCGGAAAATGAAAAACGCCATCGTTTTTTAAGAGCTCCTGTCTGCCTGCATCAGGCAATGAGAATCTCCTGACCACCTTGATTGCTTATCCAACAATATAAACCTTGTACATGACACCACCATGGTTGATAAACTCTTGCAAAACCAGTGGGGGTTCAAGTTTCTGAAGGGAGACCTTATCGTAGGCTAGTGATAAATCATGTGACATGGCAACTAATGGCTTTGCAACAACCAGTAGTCTTAGACCAGCTCTAGTGACTGCATCTGGAATGGAGGAAGAATCATACTCAATGACCAACTGCCTAGGAACTTCAACTTTACCATATCCATCGGAGAATTTCGAGTCTACAACCTCTTGAAGCATGTACTGGCGATCATAGATATTCTGTATTGCATCTAAGGGATCTAGAACCGTTACATCCGGATGTGTCATACTATATTCCTCAAGTATACTCTGCCACTTGCTTCCTGTAAGCTTGTGGAGCACAATATCGAAAGGGCCTTGATCTGAAAGGGATCTACTTTGATCAATAGCAACAAACAGTATTCCCTTGTTTCTTGCTAAACTCTGAAGCTTGGGCTGCAAAAAGCTCTTAACTTTCTTGGAAGTAAGAGCGTATCCCACCACCGTCACCTTCCCCGGCTGCACCTGCGGAAACCCTCCGCCGCCCACCACCACCGCGTACTTCTGTCCCGCTACGATCTCATCAATTTCTTCGCTTCTATCCTGGTCCCCTTCCACTACCATTTCCTCCTCGACCCCGATAGTCCTACCACCCATCTTCATTCCCAAGAAAATGCTTCTGACCAGTGACTACGAAAACAAAAATCACGGATGCGGAATAATCCCAGGAAAAGAAAACCCAAATCGCGATGAACTGTTTTGCCCTTTCTACGGTCGTTGGGAGATTATTCAATTGGTTTGATTTGGGGTTATTCGGCGATTATTTCCGTTGACAGAATCTTGGAGAAGCACCGAGTGATCACGTACAAACCAATGCGTGGCTATATTGTAAGAATAAATAAACAGATTCAGTGAGGTTTGGGTGGAGAACAAGAGTACAGACTCATGCGAAGAAGAAGAGTATGCTTTGTTTATGAATGAAATGTGCACGCTAAATGGATGCTGAAATGCAGCCAAATATTAATAAATACAGAGTATATTAACTACTCCCTCCGTAACTTAAAAATCTTCCCACTTTCCTTTTTCGTCCGTAACACAAAAATCTTCCCATTTCTAAATCTTCCCATCATACCCTCAATAATTCTTAAAATAATACACTATTACAACTACTTTTTTTGGATTTATCCTACATTCCACCACATTATTCCACTATTTTCCCATCATACCCTCAATAATTCATATCATCTTTCACTATTCTTAATCTACCTACTTTTGAAATGGGAAGATTTTAAAGATACGGAGGGAGTACTTTTATTCCTTTCAAACGATAATTCCTATTTGTGCACATGACCCATGTTTTATTTCTATTTACCCTTACTTCTTTGACATATACTACTTCCATCCCATTAAAAATCGGGACATGAAGTTTGACACAATTCTTTTGGAGGAAAAATAGAGCTGTGGTTGATATTGAAGTGTAAAATTAAGAATGATTGTGAGTCATGAAATATGGTCAATAAGAGGATTAATATTTCACATATTCTGTTCTTCTCTTGATTTCGTTTCTCTTGCTATATCTGATATCAGTCTTTGTTCATAGATGATTTGTGAAAACAAACCAACCAAAATGAATCCAAGAATTGTGGGCTTTTGCCAGTAGGAGGGGAAAGAGATAATGGCATCAATCATTCCAACTCCTACCACGCCAATGAGAACCAGGTATACATTTCTTCGAGTTCTTGACCCTGCTGCATTTTCTATGCCAATTTTCCGAATCTTCTCCAACTCTTCTTTTACTTTTTCTCTGTCCTCAAACACAGGTTTTCTTTGTGTCTGAAGTTTAAAGAACAATCCTTCATTTCTTTCCCTCTCTATTTGATCTTCATGCTATCTGCCTCTCATTCTCTTCAATCTCTCGCCTGTTAACCCTTTCAGATTCTTCAAAGGCTTGCATCTGGTTCTCGATATTCCCCATAATTTGCTCAACGAAATCCATCAAAATTCTCGATCTGATTGTTCTCTTCCTAAACAATCTGGTTGTAATTAAAATTCATACTTTGTTAGTTCACAGATTGTAGTTGCTTATGTGGTCTATATTCTTTAAATGGGTAGCTATCATACACCATTGACAATTTCACTGGGTAAAATTCATACTTTTTTAGCTCACAGTTGTACCTTGTCTTTTATTCGATTAACAATAGTTGTGAAGCTTTTTTGCTATTCTAGAGCAGATTTTTTCTGCATTTAAGTTGGTTGCTTTTCTCTTTTTTATATAGCAGATTACTTTGCACCAGCCGAACAACTATGCAAACATCAGCCGTTTTAGCATGTTTTTTTGGGTTATTGTGACATACTTATCTCATTCTTTAGGTATGGAATATGGTGGCGAATCAGAAAAACAAAAAAGATGTCGGATAAAGTTGGAAAAACTCGATCATGGTCATAACATTTTTTGAGACTTGTATTCATGAAATTTCTTTAATTGTGTGATTTGTGAAGCAGTAGTCTCAAAACTTTCATGGAAGAAAGTTGTCGAAGTTTTGATTTTTGAAAAGTACTCATAACGTATGTGTTGGTATGAAGCCAATGAAAAATCATTAGGATTATCTTATGGAAACTGGGAAAGTATGGAGCCTGAATACTGCTTAAAAGTAAAACAGGCAATGTGTGCAATCCGTCTACCAAAACATCCGATCTTACATCCCAGGAATGGGAGATTGAAATACACAGTTTTTGTACAATAGATTCACTAGTATTTATACAGAAAAGGCGCAAGTACAATTTGATAAATAATCTAATGGGGACAACATGTATTTAAGTTTCTATGTAGGCATTACAACTTAAAATCTCGTATTTTGTGACACAGATTGTGGTCTACTCCTATTCAGGCGCATGGATTTTGACTGAAATAGTGCAATTAGTCTGGCCAGTTTCAGTTGGGTCTGATTTGATATTTTGTGTATTTATTATTGTTTATTGTTGGTTTGGTCTGATCTCTTTAATGCCGGTTTGTTTTTCTTAATTCTTGTTTAATGTGGTGTGGGTTGGGCTTGAAATAACTCCATTGAACAGGTCCTTCGGCACTCGGGAGTTCAGTATTTTTAGCGACGGAGTAATCCATAAAAACTTGGGAGCTTAATATTTTTAGCCCCTTGATTGAGCAGACTGTGCCAGACAATTAATACTCACATTTACACCTTTAGTATTGTACTCCCTCTGTCCCCTTTATATTGTCCCGTTTTACCTTTCCGAGAAATCCCACTAAAATTGTCCCATACCATATTTGGTAAAGTTCCTGTGGCTCTAAATCATTCTTACTTTATTCTTACTTTATGAATTAATATCAACCACAAAAACTCACTTTTCTTAATAATCGTGCCACCCTCTTCCGTCCCAATATAAAAGGGACAGACGTAGTAATACCCAAACAAGAGTAAAACTTAGCTGAAATACTAAACTAGGAGTGTGTAGGTTTTTATGCTTAAAAGATGCAAGGACAATTTGATAAATAATCTAATGGGGACAATATGTAGTTGAGTTCCTATGTTGGCATTAAAACTTAAAAAGCTCTTATATTGATATACAGACTGTGTCTACTATTTAGGTGCGTGAGTTTTGACTGAAATAGTGCAAGTAGTCTTGCCTGTTTCAGACATCAGTGGGGTCTGATTTGATATTTTGTGTATTTTATTATTGTTTATTGTTGTTTTGGTATTATCTGTTTATGTTTTTTATGCTGTAAAGATTCAAGCGCAATCCGATAAATAATTTAACGGGGACATGTACTTGAGTTCCTATGTTGGCATTAATACTTAAATATTCTTATTTTGTTATGCAGACTGTGGTCTACTCCTATTTACACGTGCAGATTTCGACTGAAATAGTGCAATTAGTCTGGCCTGTTTCAGTTGGGTCTGATTTGATATTTTATGTATTTTATTATTGTTTATGGTTGGTTTGGTTTGATCTGTTTAAGACCGGTTTTTTCTTTTTAAGTCTTGTTTAACGTTGTCTGAGTTTGGCTTGAAACAACTCCGATTGAACAGGTCCTTAGGCACTTTTTCTATTTTTGTTGTGAACTCAAAAAGTTCCTTTCGTGCAGAACTCACAATATCGAGAAGATATGATAGCTGGACCACGATCTTCTCCCCAGAAGGCTGTCTATACCAGGTTGAATATGCAATAGAGGCAATTGGAAATGCTGGAAGGCCATAGGCATACTGTCCAAAGACGGAGTTGTTTTGGTCGGCGAAAAAAGGTCACTTCCAAGCTTCTCCAGACCTCGACTTCCACAGAGAAGATGTACAAGATCGACGACCACCTGGCCTGTGCAGTCGTTGGAATAATGTCAGACGCCAACATCCTCATCAACACAGCCAGGGTCCAGGCCCAGCGTTACACTATGTCTTACCAAAAACCCATGCCTGTCGAACAGCTGATCCAGTCGCTCTGCGATACCAAACAGGGTTACACCTAGTTTGGTGGTCTCTCTCCGTTCGGGGTTTCCTTTTTGTTTGCGGGCTGGGATAAAAACTACGGCTTCCAATTGTATGAGTGATCCAAGTGGGAACTATGGGGGCTGGAAGGCGGCTGCGATTGGGGCAAACAACCAGGCAGCACAGTCGATGTTGAAGCAGGACTATAAGGATGAGATCACGAGGGATGAGGCTGTTCAGCTTGCTCTTAAGGTGCATAGCAAGACGATGGATAGCACTAGTCTTACCTCTGAGAAGCTTGAGTTGTCTGAGGTTTTCCTTTGTAAAGGTAAGGTTAAGTACATGGTTCACTCACTGGAGTCGCTCGATAAATTGCTGGTCTAAGTACATGGCTTGACCCAACCCACTCCTGAGACCTAATTAACGCTCTTCTTGCTTGCTTGCTGTGTATGACTTCTTGAATCAGTTCCCTCTTTATTTATATTTCCAGACCAAACTTGTGTGTTTTTTAGAAGTAACTTCATAACTGCTGTTCGTTTACCATTGGCATCTTGCCTCATCATATGTGGGATTGTTGATTCAATCAGTATTGCTGCTTTATTTAATCGGACGGCTGCTCTGTAGTACATGCCAGATCATGAAGTTCAACGTCTCTGATGTTTTAGAACGATCACATATAATTCTGCAGGTGCTGCTTAAACTTATGGATAAAGGAAAATAAATAATGACATGAGAGTAACATAAATTGTGCTTCATAAATGATACAATCAGTGAAATTCTTAAACACATAAGATATTTACTTTCATCCAGATTCTCAACACTATTTTCTGCTTCAACATGTAGTATACATTTTCTTTATGGTAATAAACAGAAAGCATCAGTTGTCTTAATGACTTTGATGGCGGCAGTTATGTCATCAGTGGTATTTTCTGCTTCGACATGCTTTATCAGCCTCAAGTAATGAGACACTCTACTTGGGGTCAGTGGCAGCGTCAGAGATTTTTTGAAGGGATTTAAGATTTATGGTGTATTTTCTCAAAATATAATAAAAACAATAAAAAAATGTAATACATTAGCACAAATTAGTCATTACATTCTACTTGACTCATATCTATAATTTGGGTAAATCAATCGTAGGAGTTTTATTATGTTCAAAGTTTTGCATAGGAAAACGAGCTCATATGACTCTTGTACAACTAACTCATCTACACATTCAAAACTCAAAAAGTTCTCATAGAAAAGAACATTTTCTATACTAATATCATCAAAGTTTCTTTAGAATTATTTATACACATTACACATCTACATTCTTCAAGAAGTATCCACAAGCTTCTATAATCTAATGAAAGGATCTAGATTACTCCACAATTCCTTAAAATGTTTTAGAGGTTTCCACACTCTTTTGCACAGTTTAGTAAGTTCCACACTTTTATATAAAACTTACCAATATTATTTTAGAACATTCAACACTTCTCTATTCAATCTATGAGAATTGTTGGTTAGTTTATAGCTTTAAGATGTAGGAACTTGTGCATATATATGTATTCTGTAATAGACTGCTCCTTACTGGACTTGTAATATATATATATATATATATAGGGAGCGGATCAAGTGAGAAGTGCGAAGTAATTTAAAAAGTTATAAAAGTTACGCATTTGGCTTTATAAGTTATGTTTAACGTATTAAAAATTTATTAGGACATATATGTCTTGGTAAGTAAATAAATATCTTTTTGATAAATAATTTTTTTGTAAATATTTTTCAACTACTACTAGTGTTTTTCATTGTAATTTCATACTTCCTCAAATTTTCACTATAAAATTATACTTTTGATTTAGAGTTGTTGAATTTATAAGTTATGAATTCTGTTATATAAGTTACCTTATTGTCTCTATTAGTTACACTTCGCACTTCTCAGCCTAAGACCCACTTCTCACGTGATCTTTTCCCTATATATATATATATATATATATATATATATATATATATATATATATATATATATATATATATATATAATTTGCCTTCCCTCTCTCAACAGAAACTCTTTCCTTCTTTTTTTATTATTTAATTTTAACGCTAACGTTTCTCAGTTCAACACCGGAATTTAAATTAAAGTTCACATTTCAGATTACTGTGTAATTGAAGTTGAATATCTAAGATTTAAATTAGTATTATAATTAAGATTTACATATTTAAAAAGCACATATGAATGTATTGCAAAGATCACATAGATTAGATATTGAAAAAAGCTTGATTAGTCATTAGATAATGGATGGTAACTTCATATTCAAAGGGAGCAGCAAGTATTTGTTACATCCATTTCAATTTATTTGTTCATTTCAATATTCATGTAATCATATGATTACTATGTTATTCCCAAAATATGAATAGTTATTGTCTTGTTTGGAAAATTCGGTCAATTACGGCTATATTCTGGTGAAAAAAGTTTTTGTCCATCAATATTTTACCTTATCCGATATGTTTTTGTGGTTAAGTAATAGTTGTATTGGAGTTTCTTTAATATGTACGGAGTATGTTTTAGTTTTTTTTGGATGAATGTATGTTTTAGTGATTAGTTTATTACTACTAAATTAAATATTAGAAGAGAAGAGATAATTATTATTTCCATTGACCCTCAGTCGTAAATGAGATAAGATCAGAAAATTGAGACGTATGTAAGTGGAGGACCTAAGGGGGGCTAGGTGGCCGGGGCACGTGCGCCGCTTTGAGCCCGGAATTTCACTAGTAGTACTTAGGATAAAAATGAGTGCCCCGACTTCATACCAGTATTTGATAATTAAGATACTAAAATCAGGGCCGGCCCTTGCGGGGAGTGAGCAGTCCGACCGCACCGGGCCCGAAAAAATGAAGGGCCCAAAAAAAAATTAGTATTAGTATTATTAGTAGTCTAGTGCTCTGCATTTTTATTGGCCCAATTAATTAGCTCAGCAAATTTAAAAGTTTTAATTTAACATAAATTATCAGTATTTTTTACTATTATCATTTTTATTTATGTTTTATTATATTTGCGTAAAAAAGGAAAGCCTAAATTTTATTCTTGCACAGGGCCTCCGTTTTCTCGGGACCGGCCGTGACTAAAATGTTACGGTTATATAAATAAAAAATTAATACAAAATATTTAAATTTTAGCTAAATTAAAATAAAAGATATAGAATTATAAAAAAAACAAAAATAATAATTAAGAATTGAAAACAAAAAGTAACAAAAAAAGTTAAAATGCAAAAAAGTACCCAATGTGCAGGCAACTAAAACTACGGAGTATTAAAAGTCTAAAAACCCACTAACATTTGGAAGACTAGAATGATAAAAGCCGAACACAGAATTACTCACATGTTTAGCATGTCTGGATCCTAGAGATAAGTTCTCCAATTTCTGTGAGTCAAAGCTACTGAACCTTGCAGAGTTATATTCATGCGATTTTTCATTTGTTGATCGAATGGAGCTGAAAGAGCAACTCCAGGTGTGGATATATGAAATGAGAACAAATGAATTATTTTCTGCCGTACAAACTATTGGTGAAGTTTGTAAGAAGATGGTTGAGCTTAAAGTTCACAATTCTTTTCACTTGGTATATCGTCTGATTGAGTTGACTTTAGTGTTACTAGTTGCAACGGCCACCGTTGAAAGAGTCTTCTCTGCGATGAATTGAATATTATCAAGACAGATATTCACAATAAGATGGAAGATGACTATCTTACAGATTGTTTGGTGTGCTACATCGAGAGAGATGTTTTTAGAAGCATCGATAATGAAACTATTATGCAACATTTTCAGAATATGAAAACTCGTAGGCTTGATTTACCAAAGTTGCAGCAATCAACTATTTAATATGTAATTAACTATTCGGTATAATTTAATACATTTTTTTTACCATTTTTATTACATTTGAAATTTTTATTATAGACTAACTTTAGTGTCTAGTGTGCCCCCGCTCTCACAAATCTCTGGGTCCGCCACTGGTATGTAGTATATTGGATTCTTTTTCTTTTTTAATACTACCAAAAGTCAAATAATAGAAAACAATACTACCAAAAGTCAATCCATTATGCTACATATGGAACTGTTACAAAAAAAAATAGGCAGTTAGCAATCCATATATGGCCTGGCAGGCCTGCGCTATGAATACTCTACAACCTTTCTTTTTTGCGCAAGGTTTGGAGCAGAAGACCAACATAACAAGCACAGAGATAAGGGAGGCGGGTAGAATAGGAAATTGGGTAAAAATTCAAACGCCAACACCCTAAACGCTAGCTTTGTTAGTTTTTTTGGTTTTGGCTGTTTGAGATAAAAAGCCAAGTGAAAAAAATCAATCAATCACACTTTTATTAGCTATTTATCTGGTCAAAAAACCAAATAATAGTCAAATCAGCCAAGAAATGACCGATAGAATCTTAACCAAGCACCCCTAATAATTTTAGTGATCACGAATGTATTCAACTTTACAATTTTAGTAACTATGCACAGTAACTGCGAAGTACAATAGGAGTAATATTTTATCCACTAATTTATTTCAGTAATATTTAAGGAAAACATCGGAAATATTACATAACACACTTTATTCCATTATTCCGTATTTTCTTCCAAAATTTTTGTTACAAAGTTGCACCATATTCACATTCATTCTCACTAAAATTTTATTATTCGCAAATACTCCCTCAATCCTAATATTATTTTCATTCTATTTCTTTTGATTAATCCCAAAATAAGCTTCATTTTTGTGACAAAACTTTGTAATCCATATTTTCTCTCTCAAATCTCCACAACTCCCAACCACATGTTTTACACCCGTTTAATCTACATATAAAGTAATTAAAGTAAATATCGGAGTTAAAATTGGGACGAAGCCACGAAGGCAGTACCTTTTTTTGTAATCTTTCTCCAAAAAATTCATACTCGGTGTGTTTAATATTCCACAAAACTTTGCTAAATTTCATTATTTAGTTGTCCTAACAAGATTGATAATTGTATTTAAGATTATAAACATGTTGATAAACTTGTTTTTCTTTCTTTAATTTGTACGTACTCCGTATAAATCTAATTATATCATTTTACGGAATACTTTTTTATTGGTTTTGTTAAAGTACATTTTTATGTGCAAGTGTAATGTATTTTTCTCTCAAACAAGGCTACAAGCCTACAACGTCATACTACTAAGCAAAATAAAATCAAAATTTATGGTTGTAATTCAAGCTTCCTAATCTTAAAATCTTTGTAACCCTCGATCAAGAATGTGTTGAAGGCAAACAGAATTGTTAATAGAGGGGCATTTTTGTCTTTTCGTATGGGGTTCGGGTGCAAAAACAAAGATTTTTAAAAACGGGTTGCAAAGTTCAATTTGGACAATAAAATGAGGTGCAAACTCAAATTATCCCTACATCTATTATTAAAAAGAAGTATAACAAGAACATACACATTATAATACGACAACTTGGAGGGATGACAAATGTGCATTTGTGATGAATATATCCATTTTGGTAAAAGATTGTATGCGTGACGGGGGGCTACTGGGTTTATTGGTAAAAGATTAGTGCAGAGATTGCATGACGGTACTGATACTTTCATTTGACATTTACATGTTCTGTTCTTGTGGAAGTATTAAGTTGTGTAACAAGTGTACCTTGACTGTATAGTTATTTTTT